TGCGAAGTGTCTATTTGATATAGTCATTACATATAGATCAATCCTCCATAAATAATTCATAATTAGAGTCATGTAGAATCCGTTAACCTCTCTAATTATATATGCATTCTTGAGTACCATTGATTCTCTAATGGATAGTGGTTCATAAAACACATTCATGAACTAGAGCGCTTTTACTAATCCAAGTACCGAATCAACACTCAAGATAATTATTTATCTACTTCTTTCTCAAGAAGGAATGAATTCCATCTCGTATAATAACATTCCCAGCTACCTATTTCATTATGTCTCCAAAATACAAGGAATAGGATTCAGGGTCTCAGAATCCGTACCGAGTAAATCAAAAGACATAAATCCATAAATAGGAGTTTGTTAAGAACTCAGGATTAAGATCATCCTATATATGACCATCGGCAGACTCAATCAGAATTTCTATGCTTAACAGAAATTATTAGAAATTCATATTGTGTCTGTGTCCTTATTCCACATAATCTTATTATGCGAAATACACTCATTCAATATCTCGCCATATTAACAGTGCGGATAACACCGTTCCATTCTAAATGGGAATGACATGTATTAATAATGTTTTAATTAAAGATTCCAAACTTTAATTAAATTCATCATGAACAACGTTTTTGATTATTATCCTTAAACACTATCCTCTAGTATATAACACTTATATACTATGTTTAAGGTTACATAAACAATCATGAAATTTTCATTTGATATTCATAAAATATTCATAAATATATGCACATAAAATGATGAATAAACTATTTTATTAATTAAATAATAAATATCCTATTACATCTCATGCTTCTAGGACACTATTCCCAACAGAGACGTGGTTGGTAATTGGATACATCGACTGCTTTCCTTCATGGTCTGGTGAGTATCGATTTGGTGGCTTACCACGGTTGTGCCTGAAAGGTAATCTATATCCAACAGAATCGTCTATAGTATTACTAGGAGAAGAGTTTAAAGATGGTACCTTAGGAGTATTCTCATGAGAGTGGTCGTTTGGTACTAAAAGATGAGGGATGGGCTGCTCTTGCTCATTCTCGGCATCATCATTTCTTCTCCATGTCCTGGCGTGATCGTCATCGGTCTTATAGGAGCCTTTGGCTGGATTGCCTCATGTTGAGTTCCAATTAGATCACCTTGAACGTCATCATGTCGATGCTCCATATTAATATCTTGAAACCCTGGCCAGTTTTCCCAATTATACACATTCGGCTCTTCACCTAGTAGCTCCCCCTGAAGAGAAGAATGAGTATCTGGTTTTGGGAAGAAAGGTTCTGATTCGAGAAAAGTGACATCCATCGTGGTATAAAGATGCCTTCTAGTTGGATCATAGCACCGATACCCTTTCTGATGAGCTCCGTATCCTAGAAAAATGCAACGAACAACACATGGATCGAGTTTTGTTCGTTGGTTTTTATGAAGGTGAACATAGGCAACACATCCAAATATTCGTGGCGGAAGCATTAAGATGGAAGGCAACGGTACATAATGAGCAAGAGCTTGTAGTGGCGTTTCAAAGTTCAAGACTCGGGATGGCATTCGATTCATCAAATAAACTGCAGTAACAACTACATCTGTCCAATAGCGTCGGGGTGCATGTGCCGCTGTTAAAAGTGCTCGAGTTGTTTCGAGGATATGTCTATTTTTTTGCTCCGCAACACCATTTTGTTGTGGTGTTTGAGAGCAAGTGGTCTCATGATAAA